ACGCGAGATAATTAAAGTTATTTTTGAGGTTATTGAGGTTATGTTCGTTTTGGTACACTAAAGGAGCATAACTTTTTACGTGCGTACATAAGTATACACACTAGTTTTTATTATAATCGTTTTATTTCACGTTCGAATCGAACACATTTATTGTTTCCAACAATTCTTTTGTTTCAATTGTTTTTGTTTTTGTCGAATCAAAATTGTTGACTATGCGATAGTTTAATACGATCGTCTCGACATCCTATCGAAGATTTATAAAACTTGATATGTAGTAAATGCAATTCACAATATGATAGGAAAACTTTTTGAAGATGATCCATGGAAACTTACGTAACTCCTGGATACCTATTTTCTACTCGAGATGAAAAATAGAAATAGAGAAAGAGAGAGAAATAGTGAAAGATGTCTACACCCGAACGAAGAATAATCTTTTCACTTGTGTAAAATTCATGATACCTCTTTGCGGATACCACCGCCGCCGATGTCTGCTGTTTTATATTTCAGATCATTTTTATCGACTGACTCATAAATGTGCGCTGTCTATGTGTAACTCTTTTTTTTTCTTCCCTCTAACCCAAACCCCACCCCCCGCGCGCCCGCCCGCTTCCACCTATCTGACATAACTCCGAAATGTTGAAAATCGAAGTATTGATTTTTGTTTTGGTTCTTTTTTAAGAAATGTCAAAAGTAATATTCGATTGAAAGAACAATTCAATTTTAGGTTATATTATAATTAATTGTAGGTATATCACACTTTTATACGAGAAAATTATGAACGGCGACGGTGTTCTATACGAAAAATTATAAATAATATTTTTAATATTTCATAAAAAGAGATATATTTATAATGAGGGATACCCCCTTTTGTAATTTATTTTTTCTTATTTCTTTTTTTTGCAAGACTTTAAGTACATCAAATCATTTCGTACGAATAAATAAATCTACTTAAATCCGTTTAATTGTTTCTTTCTTTCTTTCTTTCTTTCTTTCTTTATTTTCCAGTCGGTCAGAGTTAAAAAGAACCAGACCTTTTCTGAAAAGAAAGAATAGAAAATATAAAAATAGAAGAGGGGAAAAGAGAAGAGAAGAGAAGAGAAGAGGGAAATTTAAGCGTCGAGAAGAATCGTGCGAGGTTTCTTAACAGCTTAAACGATGATGTCTGCCTACCGATCGACTTTTATCACTTGCTAGCAGAAAGAAGTAGTAATAGTAGTAGTAATAGTAGTAGTAGTAGTAGTGGGAGTAGCTGCATAAGAGTACAAAGCCTTCTTCTTTTCTTCCACTGGATGAACAGTGAACATTCGTATATATATATGTGTGTATATGTGTATCTATAAAACTATGTATGTAACTATGTATGCCCTTCTTGTACGTATTCACACTTCAGTGTCAAGCAGCATCGCGAATAGGGAACGTACTTTGGAATAAAGGAGGAAAAGTTTAAAAAAACAAAAAAAAAAAAAAAAAAACAAAAACAAAAAGAAAGAAGTAAAATGAAAGGAGAAAAAGTATAAAAAGAAAGTTGGCGCGAGAATATGAAGCTCTCGCGTTATTATAACAACCGGACACTCACTCGTTTGACAAAACTATCGTTGTCGCGTTGATTCACCTCCGATTTTTCTTGCTTTTACTCTCGCTTGAGGGCGATTACACAACGAGAATTGAGAATAATACGATGCCTCCCCCTCCAACCCCTTCCCCCTCCTAACCCCTACCCACCCTCTCTCCCTCTCGTGGTTGCGTCTTTGGGTGCTTTGGTATTTGGGTGAAATGAAAATTGATAAGGAAAGGGATAGATTTTGTTTTAAAAAAAACAAATACATATATATCGTTGCTTTTTTTTTTTTTGGATAGAAAAAAATATATTATTAAAGACCAAATAGAACGTTTTTATTATTAATTACGAACAAAAAATATATTCCATAAATTATAACATAATATATATATACGAAATGTATATAATATTTAAATAACGATGCATCCAACGTTATGCAGCAATAACGAATGGATACAGAACAAAACAATGTTATTCTATTTTTGTTTTGAAATTTAAAAGAAATCGGATGAAATTTGTGACGATTGTTTAGTCTTCGGTATCTTTCTTTCTGCACTGCTAGGTCTACAACGATTCGAGCCAAAACTGTTAGTCGTAATTTTTGCGATTCTGGGTCACGCATATACCTTGCAAAGCTAAAAAGAGAGAGAGAGAGAGAGAGAAAGAGAGAAGACTACGCTTAAATCCCTCCCCAGTAACGTGTTCTCTCTCTCTCTCTCTCTTTTTCTCTCTTTCTACCGATAGGAGGAAGAAAACAAAAGGGGCTTTTATTAAATCAGTACGCTGATCGCCGGGGACATGGACAAAAGCTGTATGCTTCTAGTAGCAGCTTTGGGAGATTCTCTCTTGGTTCTCTCTCTCGTATTGATACACACGGTGACCATATTTTCCATTCTATTTTTTTTCTCGTTTTTTCTTTTTTTTTTTTTTCGTTAAGGTTAGGGCAACAGCATTTGTCTATTCTCTTGTTTGCGAAGAAACCTTCTCTCTCTTTCTCTCTCTCTGTCCTTTGTGTAACTGATTATTATTAACGTCGTTATTATAAAGGAAAGAGAAGAAGAAAAAAAAAAAACTATAAAAAGGACGGTCGTATTTTTTAAGCCCTTTCGTTAACGTCCGAGTAAATTTTCGTTCTAACGACTCCCCCCTCCCCCCCCCTACTCACAATCCCATCCTCCACCTTCCCTTATTATGAAGTAATTCGTTTGTACGGGTTCGTTGATATAACGAAAGGATTAATATCTTCGAAATGAAATGAAATGAAATTTATATAATAAATAATTAATTAGACTTGAGTTAAAGAGCGCATTGTATAATATAAGTTAAATTAAACCCAAAAGGAATATATAATGTTTGATTTGACGATTAAAGAAGTAATTTTGCAAACAGATTTGATTGTACATTTTACAGTCTCGCTAATTGAAAGAGACACAACTCCTTTTAATCCTCTTTCTATCTTACTTTCTATCTCTTTCTCGTATTATTATCTTTTAGAATGTGAACGCAGACGGAGATATAGTCATCGTCAAAAGGACCGTGTCATCTTTGAGATATATATTCGCGTCACAAAGCTTTGAAAACATAAAGATAAAGAAATATATCCTTATATTATACACAGAGAAAGAAACATACAGAACGCAAAACGATCGAATAAAAGTCGATGGAAACGGATAAAAAAAAAAAAGAAAAAAGAAAAAAAAGAAGAAGAAGAAACGTTTGGCGGGCTTTGTCGGTGTCTCGATATTACATAAAAAAGAGAGAGGGAAAAGGATCTCTCTTGGTCAGAGACGATACGAAACGATACGACGGCAAGGAAGTTTCCTGTGATATTAACGGAGCAAGATATAACTTTCTTTTGAGTATAAAGGTAATAGAGGAAAGAAAGAGAGAAAGATGGGGTGGAATAGGGTGGAGTGGGGTGGTAGAATAGGGTGGAATGCTAGGTGGCAGGGTTTCTATTTCTTGTTCTTTTCCTCTTTTTACCAAGAGGACAGTTCGATCTCCCGAGGGAGAAAAAGAATTCTTGGCGAGAGGCGTACGATAGCCTCTGACGATGAAAGAACGTGCTGGCAGCAACCCTTCGGTAGTAATAAGAATACAACATGGCTGCCATCAACGGGAACCTTCACACCTCTTCTCTTCTCTTCTCTTCTCTTCCATTTTGTTCTGTTCTGTTCACTTTTCTACTCTTCGTGAGAAAGCTTCGTGATTTTCCCTATCCTATATAGCCTCTGGCACAACAACACCACACACCAGGAGTTCTTCCTACCCCCTCCCGCCCCCCCCCACTCCAGCCCCTCGTCTTACTATTTCTCTCAACCGAAGAAGTCAGAAAATAAGACGAAGCGATATGCCTAGGTAGATGAAAAGGAGAGCCCGAATTACCAAGACGAGGGATTTCACGGCTCGATAACGTACGCTCGACTTGTTCGTTCGAGATAGGATCGAATCTAGATTTAAATCACGTAGAGGCTCCACCATCCGTTTCATAGTATATGTATATGTATATATATAGAACTATTCCCTTCCTACATATACACGGATAGATACAGATAGATAGATAGATAGATAGATAGATAGATAGATAGATAGATAGATATACATATTGCCTTTAGGAAGCCGATCGTACATCGTCGAAGCTCACGAAACCTTCCAGGAATGTTAGCTACCCCCTTAAAGCTTGCTTTAGGCCTTGCAAGGATTGCTAAAAGGAGCGTTAAAGGACGTAAAGATAAAAGATAGAGAGAAAAGGAAAGAGAAAGATAGATTATTATTATTATTATTATTATTATTAAGAAGGTATCATAGGGAGAATTTGGACATCAAAAAAAGAAATAGAACTTAATTTTGATAAGTTGAACGTTTCGTCCCTTTATTGGGACTTCATCAGCAACTGCAAATTTTATTTTATTGTTCATTTTTATATTACGAAATACATGAGACCCGTACATTATAAAATATTAGATGTTACGTTAATCTCTAAGGTTCAGCGTCTTTTTTCTTTAAGCAGACATACATTTTTCTTTTTATTTATAATATTTCAAAACACAAAACATCTACACTTCGTTAAGTCATAATCATTATTATTATTAATTAGAGTTTTTGTTGAATGTTCAAATATAACGGATCAAGAGAGTACGAAGTTTAGTATTATAATAGTGTTTTGAATATTACAAGAGAATGTATGTCTGTTTAAATATAAAAAAAGATGCTGAACTTTAGAGATTAAGTTGCTGAAAAAGTCCCAATAAAGGGACACGAAACGTCTAATTAATCAAAACAAAGTTCTAGTTCTTTTGAATGTCCAAATTCCCTAAGATACCACCTCCTATTTATTAATAATTTTATTTTTAGAGACGAGAGAAAAACAACTAATTGAATTATTATTATTATTATTCACTGACCAAACACTATGGCAAAACGAACTATAGGGAAACAACAGAAACAGCAATAGCAGCAGAAACATCAGCAGCAATAGCAGTAGCAGTAGCAGCTGGGTAACAGCAAAGTTGGGAAAGGTGCAAGTGGGCAGCAATAGGTGAGGGTGTATCTTTCGAGTGGCATTAATAGGTCTTTGTTTCGTCGAAGAGAAGTGTCTGGAGGATGCCCAGGCAGCGCGTCGTCAGCCGTGCGAGTCTATTATTCGAATGTAGAGCAGATATCGGTTGTCGATATGCCATCCAACAGTCTAAATATTCGATCGATACTACCCTTCTGTTCAATCCGTCTTCCTTTACTCTTTTCCCAGTCTTCTATTTCCCTCTCACTCATTCACTCACTCACTCACTAACTCATACATACTCATAATTCCTCCTACATTCATTCACGTAGTAATAGTAGTAGTAATAGTCTCTTGCGCATCTGCATTTTCACTGTGTCTAGCTCTTTCTCTGTTTCCGCACCTGTTAGCAACCCATCCTGTTATCGTGGATGCAACTTTAACTCGCAATAATGAGCATCAGAGCGAGAACGCGAGTCTAACTATCGAGCAACGATCCTCTCTTTCTCTCTCTCTCTCTCTCTCTCTCACAGGAGAGAAACGTCGATAATTCTATCCCAAGAGGTTGGAAACAACACCGATGGGGGCTATGATATATACCTGTGTATGTTATACGCGTATTTATGTTGGTATGCATATATCATTCACCACCCTCTTCTATCTATCTACTACTCTTGGAACGTTTGTTTCTCGATCTCTCGTAAGGCTTTCGATAGGTTTCGATCGGTCTTCGCGTTGTGTTGGCTTTTAATCTTGGAAAATGAACGTTTACAGAGGGTAGTATGAAGCATACGGTTTACGCGTATATATATATATGTGTGTATGTATATATGTAGTAGACTGTTCTTGCATGATGATAATCGACGACAGATTATCGTTTATGGGTGTTTAACCAACGAGCACGTAATCGAAAGATCATGATACAATGCTAGAGATATATACATTCCGATTATTCCGATCACAATTCAAAGATCTATTATTATTCGCAAAAGGGGAGTTTTAGCAAAGATCTTTCAAAGGAGAGAATTAATCCATCTATATATATGTATATGTATATATATATATATATAGATGGTCTATAACGTGATAAGTGATACTGACCGTTTTCCACGTAATAACTGGTCTCATTGTAACGTTCGTCGGTGAATCCTGGCCTCTTCGCTTTCAATGCTTTCGTTTCCAATTTCGCCTGAAACAGAGAGAAAAGTCCACGATTGATAGATACCCACGTGTATGTATGTATGTATGTATATATATGAGAGCACATGTATGCGAGAGAAGTCAAATAAATGAACGAGGAAGGAAGGGTAAAATAATAAAATTGTTACGATTTTTATTCCAGATAAATCTCGAAAAAGTGGAGAATGTAGGAAGGGAGATTGGGAGGGCAAGTGGAGGGATGGGGGGAAGGGGGGGGGAGGATAAAATCATCGGATTTTTTCTTTTCAAACATTTAAAACACATTTTTGATTTTTCAAACTGTCTATTCGATTATACGCATGCGAGAGAATTCGAATAAATGTGAACGAGGATAGAAGGAAGGAAGGAAGGAAGAATAAAATAATAAAATTGTTACCGATTTTCATTCGAGATAAATTTAGCGATGGGTGTATGATGGAGGGAAGGGTGTACGTAGGGAGGTGGTGGATAAAATCATCGGAATTTTTTCCTTTTCGACATTTAATAAAACACATTTTTAATTTCAACCAACCAACTGTCCTATTAGATTTAAACGAAGGTTTTTATTAAAACATTTTCCTTTTTTTAAATTTGATTAGAAATCGAATATTTTGCGAGGAAAGTTACTAAAAACAGGGGTGGCGTAAGGGTAAAATTATTAATCGGCCAAATATTTGTCATAGATAATTTAAATATCTGTTATACACGATGGTTGATATAACTTTAAGATAAGTTTGTAATCGAGACACGAAATATAAACAAAATGAAGGAACCACCCTTCACCTTCTGGTATCGTATTCGTATTCGATTTGATTTTTGAAAAGGAAGAAGAATCTTCTTCACGGCATTCGGTGATTCGCCGGAGTTTCGGCTGTATCGACCGGCCATGAAAGTTCCCTCCCTTTTCGACCTCCACCCTCGAACGATATCTCTCCCCCTTTTCCCTTTTCTCTTCTCCTCTCTCTCTCTCTCTCTCTCTCTCTCGTCCACAGCTGACACCAAGCTCCTCCTATAACCTGTCTCGCCGCTATCACAGCTTCAACGAGGGCTTTTGCTTTCCTCGTCTTGCACGTGCCGCCGCCACGCTGTTGCTGTTATTGGTGTATTTGTATGTGTGTGTGTGTATATGTCTGTGTTACTTCTGTAGCTGATACCTTCTCATCGTGCGTTATATTAGTACCCACTTCGGGAATAAGAGGATTCCAGAGGTGTGTTGTAAATTCGTCTCGAGAACGTTCGAGCACTCGGAATCACATTCCAAAGACTTTCCAGAGAGAGAGAGAGAGAGAGAGAGAAAATCTACTAGATATCATCTCTCATAGCTCATCTTGCAAACTTACAAATTTAACTCTAAAAGTGGATTTGATATAGGGTAACACACAGCTAATAGGAAAATTGTTACCGTTGTCGACGCAGCCTGTTGCTGTGCAACCGATAAAAATATTATCAATGGTAACTGACTAAAAATAGGATGAACAATTTTTGAGATTAGTAGTTTTCAAATCTAATAGGAGAAGACGAAAAATGAAAATTTAAGCATTCTATATCATATCTTTGACTATATTTTCCTTCCCCCCCCCTTTCTCTCTCTCTCTTTCTTATTTATTTTTTGTTAATACTTTATCATCCTCTTTTAGAAAATTCTCGTCGAAAAATAAAGATGGATGTAAGAGAGAAAGAGAGAGAGAGAGTGGCACCAAGTTCATCTGTAGTTTTATACACAAACCCGTATTTCAAACGATTAACAGACAGGTAAAGAGAGAAACGTAACTGGTCCTCCTTACCGAGCGTACCATCCTCAAGACTTTAACAAGTACCCTAAGCAATTAATTTCGACGGGGATCTCGAGTTAACAGCCGAGTTGGTTGAAACTTCTCTCGGTTACGTTTAAAAAAAAAAGAGAGAGAAAGAGAAAGAGAAAAAAAAGAAAGAAAGAAAGAAAACGTAAATGTTGGCGGCGGTGGCGGTGGTTGGTCTACAAATTAGTACTCGACTTCGTTGGAACTAAGGAAAATTAAAAGAAAAAGGGATATGAACTGGAGAAAGAGAGAAAGGGAGTTGGAGTTTAAGGTTGAGAATACTTAATTAAATCTTGTTAAAAGTGAGATAAAAGACTGTAAAGGAAGAAAATGGATGGATGGATTAGTTTGGACAAATCCATCAAAAAATCGACATCCTTTCTCTCTCTCTCTCTCTTTCTCTCTCTTTTAAATTGAAATTTTTCGAAATAAAATTAAATGAACAAATAATAAAAAGCATCAGTATCATTAATAACGGACACGTAAATCGTATTTCAAAGGTTGAACATGTAACTGCGCGCTGGTAGTATAGCACTACATAACCGGGTAGGAAGAGGAGGAGGAGGAGGAGGAGGAGGAGGAGGAGGAGGTGGTTGAGGAGATGGTGGAGGAGGTGGAGGACGGGGCGTGAACGTTTCTTGCCGGGCGTTTATTTCGTTAATGACGACAGCGGCGCAGATTAATGAGGACGGGCATCTTGGTGCCGTTGTCGAGAGGAAAAGCTCGTCGGTGCTTGCCACGTACGTCAAATATCGACGAGAGCGACCAAAATACACATTTAGTTTTCTCTCTCTCTCTCTCTCTTTCTCTCTCTTTCATTCTCTCTCTTTTTGTACAGCACGATCCATTCCAAACCTGTTACGTACGTTTTATCGTCTATCCACGTGTTACAGTTCTGATGCCGTTCCTGGCATCACGAGTATACTACTCCTGTGACTCCAAAATAGGTACACTTTTATTATAACAGGACAAATTCGTCTATTTGAAACTTTCAAACAAGGGGAAAAAAGAAAAAGATCGAATGATTTTAAGTGATTTTTATTATTAATGATGTACTTGTATTATTATTGTCCAATTTCAAAAAGATTGACGATGTATTATTCACGTTTAAGTTTAAGGATTTACTATCAGTATCGTCTCGTTCGATTGACAGATAAATAGATAATGAAAGAAAGATGAAATCAATTGAACAATTTTTATTATTTAACAACGA